GATAAGAGAAATTTCCCTAACAAGGAATTTGAATTATATGGTCTATAAGACCATTTTGAAATTCTATTCCTTGCTAATCTAACTTATTTAAATTATAGAGGATGTTTAGTACTCAAATTTCAATCCTATATAGTTGTAGATGGTAACAAACAGTTTCATGTAATTTACAGTGGGACAAATCACAGAATGAAAGAAGTTCAAAACTCTCCATGATGAATTCCATTACAAGAAGTTTGCTCATCCACTCCTTGGATTACCTAACTTTGTCACCTGTAGAGGTGATGCAGGGGCCTGTTCTGCAATGTCGAGGAAGAGTTCACAGATCCTACCCAGCCCAAAATAGAAGTATAGGAGTAAAACTTACAGAAAGTGTAGGAAATACATGCTTTAAAAGTTAATATTTGTAATAAAACAGAGTTAATTTGTTTCTTATCTGGATTTTCCTGAAGAAACCAGTGGTTTGCCTAAAGGATGTCAGCTTTGAAATGAGATCCAGAAATAAATGCTGCTACTCTTTGTCATTTAGGAGAACATTCCTAGAAAGAGATCAGTGGCAATATTTTTTTCATTAGTAGAAAATAGTTTAAATATTTAAACTAATTATTAGCAGATTTTCTTGGTATTGATACCAGGGTGCTGTCTAAGAAACACAATGTTCTCAACAGTAATGACACAGTGAATTGAAATATTGTATCCCTTTAAACCAAGAGATTAAAGCAAATGCCCAACACTTAACAATCTAAAGGTCTGGGAATTAGTTTCCATGTATCTGATTTGCTCTTACTTACTCTTATCACTAATCTGTATATAAAGTACAAAGTGAGGAGAAACAATTGTACAATTAAGGCTAGGAAAGGTTCATGGAGGAACCAAGAGTTACAGCAGGAGAGAGCAGAGATGAAGCAGGGGTCAAATGTTGGAAGAGACTCCCTTTCCCACGACTGCTCATATTATCCATGTTTTATTTTGGCTGTGGATTATCATATTAGATGTGGATAATCATTATTATTAAGTAACACTCCTCCATGACCTCTGCCTCAGCTCCTGCCTCCTGACCTTCTTGAATTCTAGTCCTGATTTCCTTTGGTGATGAACAGCACTGTGGAAATGTAAGCCGAATAAACCCTTTCCTCCCCAACTTGCTTCTTGGTCATGATGTTTTGTGCAGGAATAGAAACCCTGACCAAGACAACTTTTAATCAACAAAACTGAATATATTTATGCTCTATATTATATTTTAGTATATGTGTAATTTGAAATGGCTCAATCTAGTTCATGATTATATTTATTGCCTCACACATTTACAATGATTATTTTTTATGGTGCAGAAATTAAAAATCCAATCTCTTCGTAACTTCCAAATATATACTACATTGCTACATGTTTACCATGATGCACAAGAAAATAAGCAACATTATTTTTGTGGACCTGAGAATTTGTGTCATTTGGCCAATATATCTCCAGCTTCTTCTGCCTCCCAGTTCTTGGTAATTACTTGTCTTTCTATCCAGTGAGTTGGATAGAAGTTCTAATTATAAATCACATAATAGTTGTCTTCACATTGCTCACTCTCCATAACATAATGTCCTTCAACTTCACAAATAATGTGTGGCAAATGACCATATTCTTTTGAAGACTGAATAATCCTTTCAGTGTAAGAGTGGTTTTTACATACCACTCTTTCTTTGCTACTTCACACATTTATGGATATCTTGACAGTTGCACATAATGTAATGTGTGTGCAGATATTTTATAAGTTGCTGATCTCATTTCTTGCATACAAGTGTATATTCTACTTTCAGAGTAGAATTACTGAATTATCTGTCTTTTGCTATTTTTCTCTTTTTAATTAAAAAATGTTCTTTTACTGAAAATCGATTTTCTTTTCTCAAACAACATATCCCAATTAGTTTCCCATGTGACTACTCTACCCAGTTACTCCCCTCTTCCTGTCTGATCTGGGTCCACCCCTTTTCTGTTCCTCGTTAGAAAATAAACAGACACTGCTTTGCTGTGCAAGCCTTTCATCCCAGCACAACCAGACAGATCTCTGTGACTTTGAGGACAGTCTGGTCTACATGGCAAGTTTCAGGACAGTTGGAACAACCCAGAGAGACCCTGTCTCAAAACAACAACAAAAAATAGAACAGCAACAACAAATATGCGTCTAAGGGATAGTAATACAATAAATGAGATAAAACAAAGACACCTTTATCAGAATAGAATAAAACAAACAGAAGGAAAAGGCACCAGCTTGATTTCTCCATGTTCAATGAGCTGTGTAGGTGTTTTCAGCAGTGGGGCCTTGCCATCAGTTTATGGAGAGCAAGCTATTGCCTTGGTAACAGCTTCTGTTGTTATGGGATCTCATGGGACACTTTTGGCCAAAACTTGATTATATGTAACCCAATAACAGTACTAGAAGCTTCATTTCATTACACGAGATGACAAGTTGGAACTCTCTCTCTCCCCTATTATTTAGATCTTTCATTTAGATTGTCTTTATATATGTATATACTTCAGGGAACTTTTACTGTATTAGGTTTCCAATACTACCCCTCAAATGGCTTTTAATTTTAGCTGTCTTTCACTATATTCCCTGCCTCATCACCCCTCCCTCCTATTTGATCCTTCCATTCGAGTGTCCCCATTAACCCACGACTATATCTTCTGGTTTAATTTCCTAAGATCTGAAAGTCCCTCCAGTTCCTTATTCTATTCTTAACCTCTGTGCTTCTACTGATTGTAGCTGCCTAATTGTTGATTTAACAGCTAATACTCACACATAAGCAAATACAAGTCAAATTTTTCATTCTGGGTCTAAACACTTTACTCAGAATGATTTCTTTTCTAGTTTCTGCCATCTGCCTACAAATTTCATTTTTTAAAACATGGCTGAATAATACTCCATTGTGTAAACATACCATATTTTCTATCTATATCTACATCTATGTCTATCTATAGATTTGTTTCTAATTTCTAGCTATTATGAATAGAGCCACAATGAACATGGATGATCAAGTGTCCTTGTGGTAGGATGAATTGTCCTTTGGGAATATGCCCATTGGTGGTATAGCTGGATCTTGAGATAGATAAATTCCCATCTTCCTGAGAAACTACAAGATATCCATCTTGTATTTTACACTTTTGGGTTCTTTGTAAATTTCACATCATGCACCCCAATCCCAGTCATCTCTCCATTTCCCTTATACCCATCCTCCTTTGTAACCTCAACCCCCAATAAAGAAAAAAATTGTCTCTGTGGAAGCTGTAGTGTGTTACAGTGTTCCCCACAATATATCTTTTCGTCTACACTTTGCTTGCAAATGTTCATTGCAACAACTCCTTGGTCTGGTACAAGGCCTCTGTCTTCTGCTACTCTATCGATACTAGAACCTCCCCAGGACTCCACTCAGAAATTCTGTTATTGCCCTGTGTCATGGAGATACTGTAGTTTTGGATGTTAGGACTGACTTTTTCATGTACTCCAGCAAGTCATCAATGGGGTAGATGTTGGACTGAGGCAATTCAAAGCCTTAGATCTGGCCCTGAGAAGTATCTGAGCTGGTCAGCTGCTGGCTGTTCTACTTTCATGACCATAGGGCTGGCTCACCAGCAACCCCTTGCAAACAGGGTCAGCTCTACCCTGATACCCAGGCAAGGTGTAAGACTCACTCTCCCACGTGTTGCAGCCAGTGAGGGACAGGGCCAGATGTCCCATTCTCATGAACCCAGGGCCAGATCTCCTACTTGCCATAGATGGCAAGGGAAAAGGGAGGGATAGAGGGCATCTGTCTGTCATCTGTGCCACCACAAAGCACACAGAGGCAGGGCCAGCTCTTTTCCACTCATGCCTTTCAGGATAGCTCACCTGCAGCCTCCTTATCCAGGGCCAGCTCTACTGTACTGCCCAGTTAAGGTACGCGGTGCAGGGCCTGCTCTCCAGAGTGCTGCAGCAGGTGAGGGGCAGTTCTCCTGCTTTCATGACCCCAGGACCAGCTCTCCTGCCTGCTGTAAATGGAAAGGGGTGAGAGTGGGGGATGATATATCTTTCCCTTGCCCATGCTGCCACATGGTAGACAAGTTGCAGGGCCAGCTCTTCCATGCTGACTGCCTTGGCCCAGCTCTTCTGTGTGGCCTAGCAAAGTACACGGCCTGCTCTTTAGAGTGCACTTCATCTGGTGAGGGACAGGGCCAACACTCCTGCTCTCACGACCACAGGTGGCAAGGAAGGAGGACGGTATCTCTCCCACATCCATGCCACCATGCAGGAGATGAGTGGCAGGGCCAGCTCTCTCACACTCACACCTTCGGGGATGGCTACCTGCAACTCCCACAATGTACGTGTGGAGGTGAGCGGGGCGTTCTCTCCTTTCCCCATCACAGCTAGCTGCCAGCAGGATTAGCTCTCCTGCTATCACACTCCCAGAGCTAGATCTCCCAGGATGCCCAGGTGAGGCGTGGGGACAGTTCTACACAGTTCTCAGACATTAGTGTGTTCTCTGGGCAGCAGTCAAAACCAGGAACGTCTTCCTGGCCTTTGGTGGTAACAGACCCGTGCTGCTGCAAGGCCATGGACCCACATGTGGCTCCTGGTGACAACATAGGCCAGGATCCCACCAGGCAGCATCACCAGCTACTCACATCAGGCTATCCTCACTAACTTTGAATCTTCAGTTCTGTCTCTCTTCATTGTGCCCATGTACTTCTGTTTCTTTCTGTTTTATTTCTACTTGCGCTCCTTTTAGTGCTAGGCAGGATCTCTGAATGTCTGGGGTCATCTCAGGAGTGATCTCAGGGGTGCTATGCCCTGCTTGTACAATATGGCACCAGGCAAGGCGTCATTTCGGGGCCCATGTCCGGGGCTCACTCCTGCCCAGGGACTGAGGTTCCAGAAATGGTTCTTCTAGTCTCCAGCTTGCCTCTCACCCTTGGAGCCCATACTGGCCTGCACAACACGGGGGCTGGTGGTTGTCTCTGGCTTGCTTTTTTTTTCAGGGAACGTTAAGCTACTAACCACTCAGAAGTTCACAGGTCAGAACACTAAGTGTAGACATAGCCTCTCTCCTGTCTGCCACCTACTGACGCACATGCGACACAGCAGCCACAACAAAGCCTCCGGGGCAGGTACAACACTGATTTCTGTACTGACTGTAAAAGTTTGCACTCCCACCAGCAATGAAGAAGTGTTCCCCTTGCTCCACATTTTCTACAGCATAGAACAACGATGTTAATTTGTTTTATTGATCTTAAACATTCTGATGCAAGATGAAATCTCAAAGTAGTTTTGATTTGCATTTCCCTGCTGATTAAGGAGGCTGGCCATTTCTTTTTTTTTTTTTTTCAGGTTTTTTTTTTTATAATTTTTTTTAAATTTTTTTTTAATATTTATTTATTTATTTTATTGATGAGTACACTGTAGCTGTCTTCAGACACACCAGAAGAGGGCATCCAATCTCATTACGGATGGTTGTGAGCCACCATGTGGTTGCTGGGATTTGAACTCAGGACCTCTGGAAGAGCAGTCAGTGCTCTTAACCGCTGAGCCATCTCTCCAGCCCAAAATGTACCTGGAGAGTTAGGTATTTCTTTTTGTTGTTGTTGTTATTGTTTTTGTTTGTTTGTTTTTGTTTTTTGAGACAGGGTTTCTCTGTGTAGCTCTGGCTGTCCTGGAACTCATTCTATAGACCAGGCTGACCTCGAACTCAGAAATCCACCTGCCTCTGCCTCCCAAGTGCTGGGATTAAAGGCGTGCGCCACCACCGCCCGGCTGGCTGGCCATTTCTTTAAGTGCTTTTTAGCTATCTGTGTTTCTTTTTTGAGACTTTTCTGTGTATATCTGCACCTCATTTGAAAATTGTGTTATTTGTTTTGTTGATATCTAGGTTTTTTTTTTTTTACTTTCTTTACCTATTTTGGACATTATCCTTCTATCAGATATATAGTTGGTAAAAATCTTTTCCTACCTTGTGGGTTTCTGCCTTATTGGAATGATGACTTTTGTCATAGAGAAATGCTTTTCAGTTTCATGAGATCCATTTATTAATCTTAATTAATTTTTATTAATCCATTATTGATCTTAGTGCCTGTGTTAATAGTATCCTGTTTAGCAAGTCTTTTCTTATGCCTAAGAGTTCAAGGCTATTCCCCTCTTTCTCTTAGGTTCAATATATCCAGTTTTATTTTAAGGTCTTTGATCCATTTGGAGTTGAGTCTTATGCAGGGTGATGACTGTGGATGTATTTGAGTTGTCCTTCATGCACCTGTCCTGTTTGGGCAGCACCATTTGTTGAAGCTGCTATCTTTTTTCACCCAATGTATATCTCTGGCTTCTTTATCAATATTCAGATAAATTAAATATTCTATTGTTTCTCAGTGCCTTAGATTCTCATTTGTCAGGGGCTGGTTTTAGATATTGTGTATTCAGATGCTGATTTCTGTGCCCAGAGATCTGGTTCCTTTTGGGTTCCTAAACCTTTCACTTGCCGATTTCCCTTACATTTTTTTTTTCTGGGATACCCATAGGTGTGGCCAGTGGGAGTTCTGGATAAAATGTGTTTCCAGGTATTAGCAGTTTAGGAATGGAGACGTGTTAGATGGGGCTTGCAGGGTGGGGCGTAAGATTGAGAGCATCATCGGGAGGGAGGGAAGCAGGGTGTTTGAAAAAGATCTATCTAGTCCTCCAGCAATGGAGCCAGAGAGTAAATAGAGGACACAAGAGCTTGTCTACTACAGAGCTGGTGTTGAGACTGGGGGATTACATATAGGGAGAGGAGAGAGAGTGAAGAACTGGTGCTTGTTTACCTGCTTCTCTGTCAGGCTTGGATGGCTGGAGTGGCCTTTGTGTTCCCAGGCAATCTGTTCCTCTATCCTTTATTTTTGGTGTCCTCCACACTAATTTTTTAACTGGCTATATTAATTTACATTCCTCTCAATTTAAAAATCTCTTTCCCCTACAATCTTTCCAGTTTACTTTCTCTTTTCTTTCGATGAAGCCATTCTCGCCTGTAACACATCTTTAGTCCTTTCTGTCTTTCCCCCCTTCCCCGGTTGATGTTTGTTGATGCAAAGCATCTTTAATACATTTATTGGGCACTCACATCCTTCCCTTCAAGATGTCTTTATCCATTGCCAGGTGTGCGACAAGGCATTCTTTTTTCACTATTGAGCTGCTTGTGTTTCTCTTCACTCTAAACTAGATTTTTATTTCCATATGCCTTTTAATTTAATGCAATTTTACTAATCTTTATCATGTATGCTTTTGGCATCATAAGAAAGTCATTATCTGAAGTAATGCCATTGTGCTTTCTCTCTCTTTCTCTGCCAGATTTTAGGACTTATATTTAGGCAACTCATTTGTGCTTGTTTTTTATACATGGTATGAGATGATGATCCAACTTAAACTGAATTCATATGGATATTCAGCAGTTCTATACTGTTTGCTAAAAGACTTATTATACAATAATAAGTATAAGTTATAAGTAATAATAAGTTTCTTGGCACTTTTATCCAAAATAAATTGCTTACTAGTGCATAGATTTATTTATGGATACTGTTCTATGATTTTGGTATTTTGTGTCTACTTTTATGCCAGCATATTCTATTTTGATCACTGTAGCTATGTTAGAGTTTATGGAAATAAGTAGGACCCACATTGCTCAGATAGACATTGGATAAATCTGAAATTGATGTGTTTAATTTTAAATGACCAAGAAAATTCTGAAATATATGCGTATAACCGTAGTATACTACATTAGTTTTCCTAGAGCTTTAGAGACACAAGGTGATTTTTTTATTTATGATTTTAGGGTATTAGAAATGTTTTTATTTGTTTTCCCACTATATTTCTTCCTTGGTGGCTGGGTATATTGACAATTATGCTGTAACAACTGTTTCTGGGCATTTAGCTGTGACCTCAGAGCATCAAAAGAGCAGGTGGAAGAAAGAACTTTGTGTTACCTGATATATGTCATCTGTGATACAGTGTTAGTAACAAAAGTATTGGCAGTTGTTCTGTTAACAAGATTGAGTGATGTGTTTAATTACTTCCACATTCCATATGGCAGGATCTCAACAAATGTGTTGTGGAGAGCCCCGGTGAGCGGTGACAGTATTCGCCGTTATAAGATGGTGCTGGCATCCAGTGCTCTCCCAAGATTATAGATTAACTGCCCATTGTGCAAGTGGAGAATGTGCGCCAAATCACGGCCCATCCCGGGGTGTAATATGCGCTCCTGAGCAGGCAGCCAACCAGAAATGTACATGCCGCTCCAGGGTATATATAAACAGTGCCTTTTCGGGGCCCGGGGTCTTCCACTTCACATCGCAATAAAACGTTTGCTGCAGAAGGATCCTGGTGTCCGCGTGTGTTCTTGCTGGCGAGACGATTGCGTGGGTCACAATGTGTGTTGTGATAATTGGAAAGTGATTGGTTATTTTACAATGACACATTAGTATCATTAGATTCTACTTCTACTCTACAATTTTCTATTTTTAACAAAAAGGATTTTTTAAAGATAATCCCTATACACATTTCATTACCCCAATGCTTTCTTTGTGTGTGCACACAAGAGCCATAAAGTACTATTTCCACTCTTAGACCCCCTCTTCATCTCTCATAAAGTAGTACAGAAAATGTTGGCTTAATTGCTTGACAGCAAAGCTTCTCAAATTTTGTATCAGGTTAATTGTCTAGAATTTTGTTTTATTGAAACTATGTCTATATACATGAGAATAAAACACATTTTATGGCCAGCCTCTCTTAAAATTAACATTCCAAATTAGCTCTTTACTCTGAAAACAACTTTGATACACACATATAATATTCACTTCTGTGGCGTGCATCCATTTCTATCCTTATTCCATCTTCAACAGAGTAATACTCGCTAAATGCTCTTAGAAGACTTCCCCAATCTTCACCGGCCACAATTCTGTTGCTCTTGTTTTTAAGTACCTTAATCTGGTGACATTTCACAGGTTCTAATGTACCTTAGCTTACCCAAGTGTTCATGCTCTAATCTATTGAAAAGAGTTGATTGTAAATGCTTATATAATGGTAGTTTATATTTTAGTTGCAAGTGTTCCTGTTTTCTTTTGGATGCTTAACATTCTCAACACTGACAAAGGCCATCATCCTGGCAGAAAACTATTTGGATATTTGAATCTCAAAATTTCCTCTTATTATTTTCCTTTGCTTTTGGGGGAGGGGCATAGTTGATTTCTTCTATTTTAAATTTACTTTTTCTCCAATCACTGTCATGAACTCTCTTGAAAATCACTAGGTATCTTTTATCCCTCAACTCAAAGCTAGAGTTAATCACTTTTCAGAAATTAAGATGACTTCATATACAGAACAAGTATACTAACTTCTTGTGGATCAGTGAAATGCCATCTTTTCATCAACATTTGTTATCACGGTCTTCCATATCTCTGTCCTTCATTCTGTATTGCAGTCTCTTTTCCATGTATGTGCTTCTAGTCTCTGTATCCTCTTGCATTATTTTCATGTCCTTCTGTATAATGTGTCATATATTATACAGATATGTACATTTATGTCAAAATAATAATTGTTCATTGTTTTACATTCCCACATCTTCATCCATTTGGAATGGTACCACCTAGCTCATTTTTCCATCTATCTCTGTTCTAACTTTCATATGTGGAGGTGTATCCATAGGTCCCTGACAAAATAACATAGCCTTATTATGCCCAATGCTGAATTCTGAAGGACTTTGATAACAATCAAGTCTAGAGAGGTTCATGAAATGGCAACAATTGTTTATGCTAAGCCCACAGTGTTTGAGAGAGTCACAGAGCAAGAATGAATGAACAACATACTAACTCCAACACAGTAACTGAATTTGGCCTTTCAAGCTCAAGAATCAGGTATTGCCTGAAGTCACCATAACTTGGTCAAGGTATATTAGAAGTATCATAAAACAATAAATGAAGGTAGCTTAATTGGCAGAAAAAAATGACACCATTATCAACCACTTGTTTACTTGGTTTCATTTTGGAAAAAAGGAATATTCTTATTTTAAAATTACAAACATATAATAAAAGACATATCAATCAGAAATGTATAAAAGGAAATGTTAAAATATCTATGAAATAAATAACTTTATGGCT